ATTTTAAAATGAGAGAACTTTCAATGCACTCTAATAGGAAAACAAACCTTCCAATTTAAACTAACCAAGTTCTACTTCTTTTTTTTTCTTTTTTAATTTTCGAGACAGGGTTTCTCCATAGCTTTTTTTTTTTTTTTTTTTTTTTTTTTTTGGTTCCTGTCCTGGAACTAGCTCTTCTAGACCAGGCTGGCCTCGAACTCACAGAGATCCGCCCACCTCTGCCTCCTGAGTGCTGGGATTAAAGGCGCACGCCACCACCGCCCAGCGAAATTCTATTTCTTTAGTGATGGCTAGATTTGAAAAAATACTTTGTGACGAAACTTAATTATATGTTCTGACACTAGATAACCTTATCTTTCTTATTACTAGAATCCTTAGCCCTCGAATTATTTTGACGCTAAAAGGATACCATCATAAGTTTTTGGTTCTTCATGTATTTATTTATTGTATCCCTGCACTGCAGTTGACCCTTATAAGTACTAAGGAAGTTCAGGGCAAGAGTATAGCCAAGTTCAAGGCTAGCTTAGGCTACACAGTGAGTTCCAGGCCAGCCTGGGTTAGAATGAGAGCCTGAATCAAAAAAACTTTAACAATTTCTGATTGTCAAATTTTTAAAAAGGCCAGCACTTGGGAGGCAAAGGCAGGTGGATCTCTGAGTTCGAGGCAGGTCTGGTCTACAAGAGCTAGTTCTAGGACAGGCGCCAAAGCTCACAGAGAAACCCTGTCTCAAAAAACAAAACAAAACAAAAAATATTAAAAAAGGAAAAAGAACATAGATGAATCAATTTTAGTGATACATTTTATATAATTAAGTAAAATATAATTTTAACCTGCAATTATATAAAAACTTAAAATATTAAAATGTTTTAGAATTTTCAATTAAGTCTTTGAAATGTGGTATATATTTTGCACTTAACACATTTCAAGTCCTTAGTTGTTACATGTGGCTGCTATCAGGTAAATCTAGGCTACAAAAAAATACTCAAAATATAATTTTTATTAAGAATTGAGTTAAAAGTCACATTTAAGGTTCTAATGGAATTAGAAAACTTGATCACAAAGATAAAATCGACAACACTCATGTGACTAGATGCAATTCATTTTTATTTTCTGCAGACTTCCTTTTTCCAACACTAGGAAGTGAAACTTCAACCAAGTCCAACCAAAAATAAGAAAGTACTTATTACAACTTTGTTACCAGCAGTCATGGTGGTGTACTCCCTTAGTACCAGTGCAAATGAGGCAGAGGCAGAATCATCACTCACTGTGAGTTCAAAACCAGACTGATCTACATAGTGAGTTTCAGGACAGTCAGGACTACGAAGAGGGGACCTTGTCTCCAAAACAAAACAAAACAAATTAATAAACAAAACAACCTTGTTACAAATTTATAGCATTCTTAACCATCACACACAATGTTCTAATTTTAAATATTAAATCCTGAATGTAGGGAAAAATGCTTTTGCCAACTAGAAGGAAGCAAATTACAAAAACAAAAAGTGAATTAACAAAAACATGGATATTAAGTCTTCCTGCATGTTACACTAACACAACAGTAACAGATCATGAGTAATTCAAAGGCTTCTCTAATGAACTAGACTGCAAATAGATTCTCAAAGAATAAAAGTCTGTTCGAATTATGGTATCAGCCTTTTCTAAACAAGACCGGGAAATAAATTTAACATTTTGTTCTAGCAATTTTCCAAACTCTGAAATTTGGGGAAACAAGAATCTCCGAATCAACAACAAAGGGGGGGGGGAAGGATGCCTTTAATAGGATGTGTTTAATGGCTTCTATTTTTTCAAGAATTGACTGTGTTAGTAAGCAACTTAAGATAATGATGCTGAGGTCAGAACAGTGATGTAGGTTTCTGTTTTGTTTGGTCGTTTTTTAAAACCAGAATAAAGGTGGAAATGGGGGAATCTACAAAGTATTCTGGACCCACAAACTAAAACATTTGTTTCTTTCCTTCCGGGTCACATTATATCACTTTAGTGTGTCCTTATTAGTTTTCTCAGGTAAACTAAAAGCTTTTATTGGAGCTTTAAAAGTGTGACTAATAAAAAATGATAATAAGATTACTTATACACTTTATTTGGGATACAAAGTCACTAATCAAGGTAAGAAGAAATCACTAAAAAGGGTTCTAAGTAAGAGGGCAGTAGGATTAAAAAGAACTGAGATAGAGCTTAAACAAAAATATAAACAGGTTGAGAATCACTGAATTTGACTACTGTATGTCTGTGATTACTTGTGACTACTGGCAGGCTGTGTCTGCCAGTATCTTAAAACTCTTGGTGATTTCAAGGATGGAAATGACAGCTACCCTTATCTTCTTTCTTCTTGAAGGCTAAGGACAGAGAAAAGTCCAGTTGTTTCTTTGAGAAACAAAGATGTTTCCTACCATTCTCCTAAGATGGTGGAAGAATCTCCTCAAGAGGCTTCCCCAAGGAAAATAAGACGAAAGAGGGAAAGAAAGCCATAACAGACTTCCCGGTCTGTGTTTCATGCCATTGCTCCTAGTCCCATCCCCTGCGCACCCTCTCTGGTCTAGCCATCTTCCTACAGGGAGGTTAAGCCTTCCCTGGGCATTGTTTGACCAGGGTCCCTATTAACGCCAGGCAGATCGCCTCCACCGTTCGTGCGCTGGGGTCTCGGTAAGCCCTGAGGCTGAAAGAGGACGTTATCAGGGCTTCGGAAAACCCTCTTCCTAACTGGGGTAAGCAAAGAAGGAAGCCGGCCTCTGCTCGGGTGGGCTTCTCAGTGGTCAGGGGACATCCCTCCAGCTAGGGACGGTGGCCATTTGAGCGTCTCATCAGAAAGCCCTACCGGAACGAGGGGCTCTTCGGGGTCCGGGATTCGCCGAGGGTCGGGTGCAGCCCGCGATTCCCAACCCTCGGGGCACCGGCGGTCAACACGCACAGGCCGCCGGGCACAGACAGCTCCCCACCCCACCTCTGGGGACCGGACAGCGGGGCCGGGGCCCAGCCGCACCGTGCCCGCCCCCGCCCTACCTGAGGGGCCCGGGCGGGGTCGCTAAGGGCCGCTCCCGGGGACCCCGCGACGGCGCGGCTTGGCGACGGAGGCGCCTCGTCTCGCCAGGGCAGAGCTCGGCGGCGGTTTCAGGGCCTCAAACTCCATCGGGAGCTACAGGGACAGCCCCGTTGGCGGCGGCGAAGGCCGCGACGGGGCCTCCTCCTCCCTCCCTCCGCCTCCTCCTTCTCCTCCTCCTTCTCACCACGGAGGCGGACCTGGAGGGATCCCTACTTAGCTCTCGCGAGAAGATACTGTTCACTTCCCGCGAGATTACGCAAGCCCGGGAGTTGGGGTGGAAGGGAAGCGTAGTGGCACTCACCACTTTACTGTGCATTAGTTTCCCTCTGAAGAGCTACGCCGTGGTCACATGACAAGGGAGCCCCGGAGTACTGTGGGAGATGCTGTGAGGAGTAGGCGAGCCAAAGAGACTTATGGGAAACTCCCTGAACAACCATCTAAGCCTTGAGGCCAGGCCGTTTGTGCGGTTGAGCCAACGTTAAATTTCCACCGCGAAAGGCTTATCATCCATTGAGCAGATCCTATTGAACCCTTCTTGTGAGATACTGACCAGATTAGCAAATAATGTTCCAGGTTACAAAAACCAGGACCAAAGTGAAACGTTTGTTTGGCGGTCTCACCTACCTCATCTAAAATCCCAAATGCCTTAAAAAGGGGAAGGATCATAATTTGCAAGTTTTGGCATTTTGATTCAGTATTTGTTAGAGAATTTATGTAAAATGGAAATTATCCTTTGTTCTAATAAATGAAGAAACACTGGGAATAAGGATGAGAAAAGCAGCAATTATGAACTACTATATGCCAGACTTTATGATAAGTGATATAAGCATTTTAGTTTTACTTATAATTCACATACCAAAGTAATACTAAAAGGTTGATATTGTGTAACCTTTGTTAATAATGTGCAAGTGAAGAAGAGAGGTTAATGGTCACACCTTGTAATTAAACTCGCATTTTTCAATGTAAAATCAAATATTCAACAAATATCTGTGAATCTGTACATAAACTAGAATATGGAAAAATGACTTTGATAAGAGCCTTTAAAACACGTGATTTGTATGCCAGGTGTGGTGGTGCATGCCTGTGAACCCAGCAACTGAAAGACTGGGCTGCACATCAAGAATTCTCCTCCTCCCCAGTATTTGTACACACACACACCATAACCACAGCAACTCACAACTTCCCGAAAATGTAGCTCGAGGAGATCCAAAGCTTCTGGCACTTACAACAAACAAGAACAGGGTTTTATTTTTATGAAAGATCCATTGGCCCCACAAATCTTACTTACTTCCATTTATTATTCCTACTTTCATACAATTATGCTATTCAAAACAGAAAATTTCCCATCAGGTGTACACTTTTGTATTTTTAACTGGACAGTGATGAGAAATTTTATATATACACATTCCTAACCTACGGTGTATGTGTGCATTTTTCATTTTATGCCCATTAGATATACCTTCCATTTCACGGAAGAAAGATAAATTCCTCAAATGTGGAAGACTATATTTAAAGTAACAACTACATCTTTTTTTCCTATCATAATTTATCCCTGGCATTATGTTTGACAAATTGATTTCAGAATTTTATGTACATTGTCTATCTCCAAGACAGCTGGTATTCTTTGTGTGCTTAACTTTTAATACAGAGAAAAAGAAACCAAGTAGCTATTTCAAAAATGACTAAATAGCAGGAGTAACCGAGGACGAGATGCTCAGTGATTAATGTAGCCTACAACTTTTGCACAGTTCTCAAATCCCACATCCAGCAGTTCACAACTGCCTGGAACTGCAGCTGCAGGAGGGGAAACAGCTTCTGGCAAACATGTGCCCACACAATACACATAACTAAAAAATAACAAATCACACACACACACACACACACACACACACACACACACACACACACACAATTTTTAAAAACCTTATCACCAAAACAAATTCAGTCCTTTAAAATTCATAGAAATACACAACCCAAGTTCTCCATTCCCACCTCCAGTTTATTATGTTTTATACAAACATAATTACATCCAATGAAAAGAGGAAAGGAGTCTCTCTGCAATAAAATAACTACTACCGGTAAGATTGTTTACATGTGGAAATTCAGTAAAAAAAAAAAAAAAAAGAGATTCAACTCAAACATTTTCTGTCATAAACAGCTAAAAGTATTTAAAAATTAATAAAGGCTCTACTTTGTCATACCTGCATATTTTAACATTCTATTTTGCTGATTTCAGAAATATCATGCAAACAGACATTCTCCCAGGAATGTTTTTTTTTTTTGCTTGTTTACCTTTTCCCTCCAAAAAAAGTCTCCTTTAGCTGAGGCTAGCCTCAAACTTAGTTATATAATGAAGGCTAGCCATGAATTGATTCTCTTGCCTCTACCTCCCAAGTGCTGGGATTATATATAGGCATGTGCACTTTACCCAACTCCTAGGAATGTTTTGAAATCAATCTGTATATGTAACGAAAATAAATAGTATAAATAACAACCACTTTATAAAACACCCTCCCCATAAGCAAAAATTTCAAAGTGCTCACAAAAATTTTTACAACAATCTTACAAGGCACACACCAAACTTAAAACACCTTCAATCAAAATGTCCCAAATATTCAATATAGTCGATACTACTTCCTAAAAAAAAAAAAAAAAAAAAAAAATCAGCTTTTTTACTATAGTTTACCCTCTCCACCCATCCCTAGCCCCCCCTTCCAAAATTCACTCAGGAAGCAAAATTAGGAGAAGCACTTCAGTCACAATTAAACAATTTCTCAGAGGGAAATACTCTCACAACTATAACTGGTCATTCTTAAGTCATGTGGGAAAGGAAATTAGCCACTATAGTGGTCCACTGACTAATGGAACAAAGTGTTTCCCTTAGAAAAGTTCTGTCTCCAAGAGAGTACTCAAATAGCAATGTTCATAAAGACATCAATGTCTCCTCTGTTCACATGAGGAATATAAACTTGTAGAAATTTAGACCTAGAAATAATTCTACAAATTATCAAGATCAAAGTTATTTTATATAAAATTAAGAAAAGTTGAAGAAGTGACCTGGTCAATGTCATTAATTGGTGACCTGTGTTATGAAGTCAGTTGTGAGACCTAGATTCTTTAAAGTCTCGCCCAGAGCTAAAATTCTATATAGACCATTACTCCCATGAAAGTGTCACAAAAATTATATTTAACACCTATAGGATTTTCACAATTCTTTTATAGTACAAAGTGTATTACATGTTAAAATACCAAATTGTGTCAACAGAACTTAAATACAGTAGAAACTCTACACAGAGCTGAGTTATGTAGAGAAATAGGACGGCTTGAAAGTCAGTGCTTTCTACAGTCAAGAAAAGAGATTTGCCCTGTAGTGAATTTTGTTCTTCATTGTAAGGGCAAATAAAGTTTTGGATTTAGAGGTATTCATATATATGAGATATTAAAACTAATTAAAGTAGCTTTTTAAAATTTAAAATATTCACCTGGTGACTGCTTGAAAAGAAAATGTATATATAGGCAATTCAACACAGAAAAGGGCCCAGGCACATACCAGTGTTCAAGAAGTTAGGCAAATTCGAGGTCAACCTGGGCTATACAAATCAAGTCAAAAGTAAAGAAAGAAGATAAAAAAATAAAAAAGGACTTGTTAATATATACATAAATGAGCTCAAAGGCATTACGTTGTAAAAAAAAAAAATCAAAAGGTAACATACTAGAAGATTCCAGTTTTATATTACCCCAGATTTTAACAAATTATAGTGATGAAAAACTCTTCCTAGAATTTAGAGTTGGAAGAGTAGATAATAGAGGAGCAGCATAAGGGTACTCTGGAAGTTGTGTCCCAACTGCAAAAAATTATTACATGTGTTAAATTCATAGAAAACTTCTCAGAGAAAGGTCAATTTTAGTGCATGTTAACCAAAGCAAACAAAACAAAAATCCCTAAGTAAACAGTAGGTGTCTTTAATAAAACTGAAATATTTAGAAAAAATAATTTTCCAATCTAAGACAAGAAAATACTTGCATTGGCCACTGAGTTCTTAATTCAACTATATAATATGTAATTACATATTCTCTTGGATATTTAAATAATGCAATTCTAAGGAAATCTGCTGGTCCCATGTGAATAGAAATTGTGCTCCTTTAAAACAATAATTGGGTGGTCTAGCTATAATCCAAGTACACTAGTTAAACATTAAACACCAAACTGTTAGTCCTGTTTTCAAAATTAATAGTAATGGACAACACTATGCTTTCAAATCTTGTCATTCGAACTTATTAAAGTTACTATATAAATTCAACATTAAATCACTAATCTAAAAACTACACATCAAAATCTGCAGTTCCTGCTGAACAGAGGATTAAAACTAATGTTTGAGACGACCTAAAATACCATAAATTTAATCACTCCATTCGCAACTTTGGAACTATTAGAAATTCAGAATGAATAATAGGTAGGAAGAACAGAAACAAAAGCTAAAGATTGGGGTGAGGAGAGAAATATAACACTACCAATGTTGCATCTTTAAAAACTTGCTTTCGTTGAAAGTTCATGATTTGATTACAATAGATTCTGCCGTTTGAGATCAGGCCTAGATAGTTTTTCACCACTGCTTCTGCCATGAACAGAAGTTAAGTGCTTTTTGAGAGCAGATTTGTGCTTGAAATCCATATCACAACAATGGCATTTATATGGTCGGTCCCCACTGTGTATGTTCAAGTGGTCCTGAAGTGTGCTTTTAGCAGTAAAGGTCTTCAAGCACACAGTACACTGAAAGGGTCGTATACCCATGTGTCCTCGAATATGCCTGTTGAGATTTTTCTTCTGTGTGAATGTTTTCCCACACTGCAAGCACAAAAACAGTTTATGCATCTTGAGGTGACGCAGATAGTTTTCTACATGAAGAAAGCCCCTTGGGCACCTAGGGCACTGATGCCTCAGTGAAAAATTCTCATCTAGATTCTGGATCTCATCTGCTGTACCATGGCTTCCATCAGTATTTTCACAAAATAACCCTTGATTTTGATTTCCAGGAAGTTCTGCCACTCTGCTCTCAACTGTAGAATTGATCAATGAATGCTGTGTTTCCGGGAAATACATGCTTGCTTTGGATGATGTACAAGGCTGTGGAAACTGCCCATTCTCTACACTATCTGTACTGATCGATTCTACATGGAGGATACAAATTTCATTCTCTTTAAAACCACTACCTACTGTAGAGAGCTCTGGAGACTTCACTTCCCTCTGCTCTGATGTCAGCCTCTCCACAGCACACTGTAATGTGTTGCACTCCTCTTCTTTAACATGGAAATCTAGGTTTACAGGACTATCTTCTGAAATTTCAATTATCTCACAGTCTTTATCAGAATTTTCCTCTTCATTCTTAACATCTGTATCCGAAGATTGACACAAGTCAGTGTGCTGGTTATTTTTCATAGAAAGATCAATTTCCAGATACTTGGACAAAGCTTCTGTGCATTTTTCTACAATGTGAACCATCTGGAGATAACTGGCAGCAGTTAGGTATTTCAGAAGCTCTTTCCTTTTCACTTCAAGTGCTCCAGTATAGCAGGACAGCAACAACTTCCTGCCAACTTCTGCACTCTGCAGAATGGTGATTCTGACATGCTTTGACTGTGTTAGCAAAAACTGATCTCTCATGAAAGTGGAACAAGCAGCCAAAATCACCTTGTGACCCTGGAACTCAGTATCATTAATATAAATTGATACATCACAAAATAAATTCTGCTGTCTCAAGAGATTCATTTTCTGTAAGACCACATCTCCTTGCTGTTCAAACTGGAAGTGTAGAACATCAGACTCAGCAGCCATGGTCAAAATCTATGCAAAACAGAGCACAAGCATTGATACAGCACACACAATGCTATTTCACGTTATTAAGGTAAACAGTCACCCACGTCCCAACATACATTAGGAAAAATGAGGACCTAAACCCTACTTTGGGTGTTAGGAGTGAATCTGTCCCCAAATCACTACCTATAAATCCAAAATGTCATAATGCATTTGTGTCATCATATGGTACATAATTTTTAAATACCAGTAATGGGTACAGTGACACTTGTTATCTTAAATTAGAAAATGTAATCTTCAAATAGCCTATTACTACAACCATTCCAAGTCCCTAGTCCTGCCTTAACCATCGCAATGACTTTCAACAAGTATCCTGACAGAACATTATTTGAATATTCTGAACTACATCCTGAATTCCCACTAACATTATAATTTAAAAAAGGAGGAGAGAAAAAAAAAACTTCTTATGCTTTAAGCCCACTGTTTCTTCCACTTCCTGGACAGCCTTTCATTCTTAAAAGGATTTCCGCCCTACCACACTTTTTACAGATCGATCTTGATCTGTTTTTCATATACCCATCGTTGTACAGATAAAACCATGAGCCCCATTTGCCTGCCTATTACATTCACGCCTCCTGCTCCATTTCCCAATTCGTGTTGAGACCAAACCCAAACGTGACTCTTCGTCTCCCAGAGACTCTTTTGATCCTTATTTTGTGTTCACCCAGTGATTGCAGCGGCCCACACACAGAAGGAGGAGCTGACGTGTCCGAGAGGGTCAGCCTGCCGATTCCCTCCGGCACCGCACAAGGTTCCCACGCCGAGCCTTCCGAAGGTCAAGGCCCAGCCGGCCAGGCCGGTAGGATTCCACGCTGGGGCTGAAGCCGAGGCCGCCCCGGCTGCAATCCCGCGCGAAGCAGTCCCCTAGCCTCATCCCCAGGCAAGTCTCCTTCACTTTCACTTACCGACTAGCAAAACGGGCTTTGAGGCTTCCGCAGCAACGGCGGCCCAGGCCGGAAGATGGACCTTAGCCCAGGAGGAAACGCTTCCGGTGTCAACCAGCCTCACTCTACGGAGACCGTCTAGACGCCCCGGAAGGACATCCTGACCTGCTCTTTCTTCCACACTTTGTCCGCTCCTGGAATGACAGAAAGACGTCAGGATACCGGCGAGCTGGTCTTTTCTGGCAGTTCCCGCCCTGATGTGAAGCTAGTTATAACGAGTGAAGAACGCTCAAGACCGGAACCGCAGACCACTGAGCAACGGGGCCGAAGGAAAGGACCTCGTGGCTCAGTTTTGGGCTGGCCCCAAACTCTGGGTGCAACTCCACCACCTTATCCACCCTCCCCTCCTCACCCTGCTTCGGACAGCCTGTCACAAAGAATGTGTCTATGCGCCCAGTTCAGAAAAGATTTTTTCTCTTCCTTTGGGTGATGGGAACTGAACATTGGGCCTTGCGAATGCAAAACACTGCTTTGCCACTTACCCTTCAAAACTGGCTTAGACCGAAATCTCTTAAACTGCTCCTCAATTAAGTTGGGAGCCAATTGGAAATGAATTCTCTTTAAAACTGAACCTACAACCTACATCGAAATATATGCTACATCAAGGGAGGGGATTACTTAGGACAGTATGTACCTAACTTTGCATTTGCAGAGTAAAGATTTTTTTGTGTACCTGTTGCCAGAGCCCGGGCTGCTGGAATGCTAGGCAAGCACTCTACACCAGTGAGTCACACACATCAGCCCTGAAACTGGGGTCCTTTATTCTCAGCAGCTTCATAAAGCAGTAACTGGTTCTACAAATAATTTCTGGTTAACCCACACTTTCTTCAAAAGGCAATCTCAAAATTTCTAGTGCTGAGGCTCAAACCCAGGGTCTTTGCATGCACTTGCATCCTTAAGATGTGTTAATAAAAACAGGCGGTAGTGGCGCATGCCTTTAATTCCAGCACTCAGGAGACAGAGACAGTTGGGTCTCTGTGAGTTTGAGGCTAGTCTGGTCTACAAAGTGAGTTCCAGGACAGTTAGCTAGGGCTGTTACACAGAGAAACCCTATCTTGAAAAACAACCAACAGCAAAAAATTAAAACATTCTTGAATTTAAATCCAAGCAACCGAGAAAGGGAAGACAGTAATAAAATAAGTCAATGACACACAGTTGAATTGTCACACTTTTATTAAGGAAACTTCCCCATTTTAAGTAAAGAGGTAGTTCAATGTATGTCTAACATACAACATATTTCGAACAGCCATTCATGAGCTGAAATCAAATGTTCTGAGTTGTTTAGACAGTATTTTAGAAATGGTGACACTAGTCACCTTTTTCACACCTAAAGCAAAACCACATCTGCTTTACCTCACAGTCACTTCAGTTTGGAGCTCATTTTAATATTAAATAATAAATAAATAACATCAAATTTTAAAAGACCAAACTGCAGTAAAGAGAGTCCTCTTCCTTTTGAAGTTTTCCTAGGAATCTATACAACACAAATATTGAGCTCAGCACTCAGGAGGCTGAGGCAGCAAAGGGTACAATAGTGAGATCCTGCCTGCCTCCAAAACCAAAACAAAACAAAAAACCCAAATGCTGGGTAACTAAGATTTATACCCTGACCCCATATAATCATGACTAGTGTTAAACCTCTTCCACTATAAAATAACTTGACCTCTTTGCAATTAAATCTGAGAAATGTGTAAGAACCCTAGTCCCACCAAACTGACATGTCTCGCACAAATGAGACTTCTCCAGGCAAGAAATGAAAGACCATAAACCAGGTAAGAGGTTTGCAAACAGTGAGAAGTGAAAATTTTAGTAACAGAAAACACTTAAGAAAACTAACATTACATCAGTGGTTCTCAACCATATAGTTCTTTGTAATATAAATATCTGTGTTTTCCAATTGTCTTGGGTGATCCCTGTGAAAGGGTCATTCAACACCTCCCACCCCCAAATTGGGCTGGAGACCCACAGGTTGAGAACCACTGCTTAAAATGCTCAGAAAAAAAGGGGGGGCAGCCATTCTTAGTTATGAAATAAATTGGGGACCTTGTCTCACTAAAATCACTTGACACTGTAAGTCCTATAACAACAAGGATGTATCAATTCCTATCCTCAGAATCTAACATAGTGCCCAGGAATACGAGTTGCTTATTAATGTTTCTTTAGGCTATGGGAGTAGCTCAGTGAAAGAGAACATGGTCAGTGTGTTTGCGGTCTTGGGTTCAAACTCCCAAGCATTTAAAAAAGAAAAGAAAAAAAAAAAGGCTTCTGGGTGACTGAAATAAATCAAGATATAGCCTCCAACATAAGAGGTCAGTATTATTTGAACCCATTCTGTTTTTAGTCTTCAGACTAGTAACAGCAACCAGACAAGAAAAACAACATGTATAGCCCCATTATTTTGAAATGTTCTTATGAAAAAAAATTCAGAGAAAATATTCAAAACATTGGATGACATAGTAGAATCCCATTGTTGCAAAGAATCGGTGCTCTTTGGATGAATAATTAAAATTCAGAATCCTAGTAAGCACTATTTGACTATACAGTGGGTGATGTTGAACATAAAGTACCAACAAGTCTTATTAGTCAACTGTATTCTATTTATTTAGTAGAAATTATGCCTCAAATCTGAGCCATGTGTAAATATATCAAATTATAACAAATTAATACCTCTTGCCATCTATATATAAATTAAGTTTAACTTTTGAATTATCTGTACATGTAGTCTCATAGTTCAAAAACAAGTCTGGTGGAAATAAAATTTCTCATATAAATTTAGTTTCACATTTGGATCTATCTCACATATTCTAATTTGCCCTTCCCTTCATACCTAAACCAGCTACTCATTTAGAAATAATACAATATTCATTTATCTAAACAACAAATAACAGGCTATGATTGTAGTTCAGTGGCAGATTCAGTGCTCGGCTAGCACATGTGACGCCCAGCACCACTACAATAAAATAATTACATTGATTTAGGTCTTAGTGCAGGCTGGCCTTTAACTTACAGCAACCCTCCTGCTTCAGCTGCACAAGTCACCAAAATAAAATCAGTTTAAAAAAGTAATTATCATAAGTCCTTCTGTAACATTTTGTTGGCAAATCCTAGGCTGTCTCCAAAAGCTAAAAGGGATATACATTAGTGAAGCAAAACTAGACAATTTCTGTTAATGTACTATTGTTCACCATCTTTTAAAGCCAAGGTATAGCAGAAGAGAGGCATGGGGACATTCATTCATATTTAGTCAGGTGTATTTTTTTTTTTTTTTTTTTGGTCAGTGGTGGCCAGGCTATCTGACTCTGAATGCTCCTACTTAAAAATGACAGAGATAGTATAAACAATCTTGTAAGAGTTTCTACATTCTCTAGCAATCCTACATCTTACTGTGACCCTTGGGTCAGAAACAATCTCAAAATTATGTGTGAAATGTACTTAGGATAAAGAATTGTTTTTTCCATCCTTCAAGATCATCTATGAAAGGTGGCAAAGTAGACAGTGTATCTCTAAGACTATCTAAAAGTAGACAGTGTATCTCTAAGACTATCTAAAAGTAGACAGTGTATCTCTAAGACTATCTAAAAGCAAAACTTGTGGTTGTCTTCTGTATACCACTTAATTTTCTTTCATGTTTTCAAGATGAAGGTATACAAGAAAAGGAAAACTAGGAGATACTGTAAACAGCACAAAAGGGATGGCTAAACTCACCTTTCTTATGAAATAAACTCTGATATACAGGTCAGACTCCAATATAGTCTATTTCTATAGAGGCCATTCATTATTCTTTAGCTCATTTAAATATGCCCAAAGCACTTCCAATTACAAGAGCATCAACAAGGTACATAAGTAAACAGCTGGTCTCTTGTTTAGGAAACCCTCCATGTGCCCACTGTTCTTTTATTATACTTCTATTATTTGTTGATTATCCTCCCCACAGTGGGAAGATGTTGCTGAAAGAATTGTATTCTGGGTTATGAGAACAATTCAGTGGGCTGTGTTAGTGTTTAAAGTACAAACCGACATACTTCTTCATAGCAGCTCCAAAAAAAAAAAAGTACAAATGGTAGGAAGCAGACTCACTCATCAGTTTTAGATGAACCACAGTAGACAGAGGCTCTATCACATATTTAGATCAACAGCAGTATCACCTCATATCCCAGCCTCATTTCCCTCAACGAAAAGTGTGAACTTTTCTAAGTACAGCATCTATTGGTAAGAAATAGGTGATGTAATTTGTTAGTACCTTCAGATATGCTCGGTAAAAAGATTAGAACAGTGTCAGTCTAAGCCAGGTATTGACACTAGGTAGACAAATGGAATTATTTTTTAGAGCTGGGCAGCGGTGGTGCACGCCTTTAATCCCAGCACTCGGGAGGCAGAGGCAGGCAGATCTCTGTGAGTTTGAGACTAGCCTGGTCTACAAGAGCTAGTTCCAGGACAGGCTCCAAAACCACAAAGAAACCCTGTCTCGAAAAACCAAAAAAAAAAAAAAAGGAATTATCTTTTAGAAAAGGAAAATAGACATCACAAAATAAATAACTCAAAAAAGAGTTGGGAGAGGGCTAAAGAAAAGCAAAGCCACTGCAAGTGGGAGTTGCCTGGTCTGCTGCTGCTTACCCATGACCACCTGCTTGGAGGCTTTGGAGAAGAAACTATCCAAACCACGTCTAAAAAGACTTAGCACTATTGTCACACTCGGTCGATTCTAGCTGTGGGCACTAGACCCCTCCTCAGTTTACACATGTACTCTCACTCCTTAAACTGAGGACAGCTTGGGTCAGTTTACCTGCATCCAGGACCTGTGTTGCATCAGGTTGTGGTTGACAACCTTTAGAGTCTGTGACTGTTGTACATGCAAAAGAATCAAAATCCACTGTAAGGTCTTGCACATTCCTCTCATTGGCATTATCAAAGCTGTTTTTGCCATGCAGCTGTTTAAGGTGTTTCCTCAAAACTGGCTTATGTGCAAAAACCATGTCACAATAGTTACATTTATGGGGCTTATCTCCACTGTGAAGGTTAAGATGGTCCTGCAAGGAACACTTCTGAGAAAAGGTTTTCCCACAGATTTTACACTGGAAAGGTTTAATTCCGGCATGTACACGCATGTGTCGATGAAGATTGCCTTTCTGAGTGAAAGTCTTGCCGCAGAGTAGACACATAAAGAGTTTGTGCATTTTTAAATGGTTGGCGTAGTTCTCCAGGTGACGGAACACCCTGGTACACTTTGGGCATTGGTGATGCCACTGTAAGCCTTTGTCTACACCTCGAATATTAGGCCCAAAAACATCTTTTGAGGTCATGATGATGTCATCATTTCCTGTGTAAGAGAGTGCGTAATTGTGGAGATGGCTCTGGTCTAGTTCACTTACTCTGTTTTCCACAGTTGAGTTTATCAGGGAGTGCTGGGGTTCTGATGAATGTAAAGCAGTGGGTTCAGAAGAAATGTACTGGTTCTGATCTTTTTTACTTCTAACCTCGGATACATCCCCAATAGATTCTACCTTAACAATCTGAATATCACTGTCCTCCATATCCATACTGTCTTCAGATGGATGAACACAAGGCAAGTCCTGTTTTGGAGAGCCTCTGGCATCTCCCTGCTGTTCTTTCGACTGGGAAGAAGCACTTTGTGGTTCACATCCCTCTTTACTATCCATTGGTTGTTTTGGCTTTATAAACTTCCACAGCGCCTGTGTGCACCGTTCTACAATGTGGCTCATCTGAAGAAAACTCGCAGCAGTCAAGTAATTTACCAGCTCCATCTCAGGGAATTCCAGCACACCACTATAGCACGACAAGAGTAATTGTCTCCCCACTTCAGAACTTTGTAATATGGAGATTTTCACCTCTCGGGAATCATTCAGTAAAAACTGGTCTCTTAAGAAGGGGGAACCTGCAGCAAAAACAATTTTATGCCCCTGCACCTCAATATCATCTATGAGAACCGTAACATCACAAAATTTATTCTCTTCTCTTAATTTGTTCATTTTTTGTAACATTGAATCTCCATAATTTTCAAACTTGAAGTGAAGGAGATCTGATCTTTCAGACATTTTGGCAGACCTAAAGAACAGAAATGTAAAAAAGGTGGAATTTAAGAAAATTTAAACAATTTAGAGACCTGGATTTACCTTTCAAAACCAAATGTGTTGTCATGTCTGCTTTGTACGTATCCAAAAAGCTCTAATAACAGCTTTCAAAGGTCGTTGATAATTATTCTTTACCAGTATCAGGTGCCAACTGTTCCCGATAAAGAGACACATAGAAATGTAAATAACTGGGCATTCACCAAATTTTTTTAAGACACTTAACACAACAACAATGCTCAAGTTAGTTCAAGAAATTTATTTTTCATGTCTCAAATGAAAAATCTATTAAAAAGAAAACATCATAACCCAACTAACAATGAAGACATTATTTTCTTTAACACGAAAGATGTACCTGCTTTTTCAAAATCAAAATGCTTTTTTTGTTTCCTATTTTTATTATTGTTTTGCCTGTATCCATAGCTGTGTGCCTGATCCCCACAGAGGCCAGAAGAGTCAGATTCTCTGGAACTGGAGTTACAGATGGTTGTCAGCTGCCATATGGATGTTGGGAATCAAACTGGAGTCCTCTTGAAAAGCAGCCAAGGCTCTTAACCACTAAGCTACCTCCCTAATCCCTTTCTTTCTATTTTAGAGTTTACAGGGGCACTGTTTGCTGGGAACTGCCACCCTCCTTTTCTGTTTAAACTGGTATGAATTTATTCATATAGCTATTCCTGTGATAAAAGTCACAGACTTAAAGAGATGGTGTTTAGTCACTGGCAAAGATACAATTCTTTATCCTGTGCACTTCAGATAAATCTAAACTCTCTGGTAAGGAGAACAAAACACTATCAGATAAACCAATCAGTGGGGTATGAGTGAGAATAGATGCAGATTCAATACTTACTAGATTGTCCTTTCCTTCTGACCTCTATGTGTACATCATTTCTCATGTGGACTACCAGAATTGACTCCTAAATGTTTTCCTTGGATTCCAAAGCCTCTTTTCTGAAACTCAACATATGCACCACATTTCAAAAACAGTAGGTTATATCTAACCCATCTAAATTTCTACTCAGTGTCTTTTGGATGAAGGTTAGCTTTTTGGTTATAAGTCAATTAACTAAAACTAATAAAGGTAAATACTGGTATAACACAGTCAATCACAGAGAAGGTTTCTTTGCCAAAACTCCCTGCACAGGGTTCAGAATATCCAGAATATGTATATCTCAGTAGCAGATAATCTGCCTAGTCATTATGTGAAGCTAGGTTCAATCCACAACACTGTTAAAAATAAGCAAATGAAACTAATTTTGCATATTGTTCTGTTTATAAGACAAATCTTTCCTGTGAAAGTCCTCATATTCTGATTCATTCTTTCCAGGTTTTCTCATAACTAGGCTTCTCATGTATATTTCTAAGAGGGTAGGACGAATTAGCCACATCAATACCATAATCCAGTCTACTAATCACAAAAATAACTAGTATTCCTTTCCTTTCTTTTTTTAATATTTAGTTATTTATTTGGTTTTTCAAGACAGGGTTTCTCTGTGCAGCTTTGGAGCCTGTCCTGGATCTTGCTCTGTAGACCAGGCTGGCCTTGACCTCACAGAGATCCACTAACTTCTGCCTCCAGAGTGCTGGGATTAAAGGTGTGTACCACGTCCGGCTCTGGTATTCTCTTTTAAGAAACCAGTTTTCTATGAGGTCAGTAAGATTGTCACTTCTGTCTTTCAAAAGCAGTTCTATAATCTCAGCAGGTTATGAACTCCAGTTTGAATCCTGTGTACTCCACAGCCATTTACTTCATAGTCAAATGAGATAGCCAGATTTTCCTGGATACATTAAGATTTTGTTTTTTGTTTTTGTTTTGTTTGTTTTTTAGATAGGGTCTCTCTGTGTAGCCCCAGCTGTCCTGGAACTCTCTTTGTAGATCAGGCTGGCCTAGAACTCAGAGATCCGCCTGCCTCTGCCTCCTGAGTGCTGGGATCAAAGATGTGAACCACCATGCCAGGAATCACATCTAAATTCTGAAGCCTAAAATTCATAATCTTATTATTTCAAAGTGTCAGCTCCTGATGTTTGTTATTCCTCAGTGCTTGGTAGATAATGTATCATCTACTTGCTCAAAGCTTGTCACACACATTGCACTAATCTAGAACATTGCATTCTAGCCAGTCTAGCGCTGTTTCCTGATAGGCACTTTTCCAACCACTTAGAGCAAAAGAATTGTCTCTAGGGCCCTTAGCACAGTACTTCTACATAACACTCAAAATCCTTTATCAAATAATTCCTTCCTGTTCAAACATAAATTCCCTGGCATTAGGCAGCAACATACACATCTTATGTCATGGGGCCGAAGCTGGAAACAGTCTGCTTTCACCTCAAATTCTTACTGTAGTCACCCTGCTTCTTCCACTGTTGACCAAACTCTCCTTTGTTCAAACTGGTGCACACCATATCAAACACACAGGAAGGGTTCAGTGTGCAGCAGTGAAACCTACAGCATTGTTAAGCAGACCAGGTCTTCCATGAGTGAGGCCACAAGGGCCTAGAAAGGAATGAAAATGGAAATAAGAAATAAGCAAAAAAGATAGTAAAAGGTATTTCAGAGAACTTGATAACTGATAATGAGAATAAAAGAAAAAGAAGGAAAACCAAAAGCAAACAAAAAACCCAATGGCACACTAAGTACTCAGAATCTGAGATAGGTAGATTGCAAGAGCCAGGTTAGTCTGAGCTACATAGTGAGATCCTATCTCAAAAAATTCTAAATCTCAGAGTTTAGCTGAATGTCACAGGAAGGGTACCCAGTTAGGAGAGTGTGTCACATGTATGTTAATAATCACAAACCGTGTAAGGATTTCTCCTGGATGGCATTCTGAATGTGGGGATAATAAATGATGGCAATAAAGGAACTGCATGGAGAAGAGGGATGCAGAGAAGCAAATACAGCAGAGAAATCAGTGCGTTTCAAACAAGGGGAAATCTAGAAAACAGGGAATTTTATCAGTATTTGGAAGCAAACAAACAGTATTATCACTGGTCAGTTTTAGTGGCAGTAGCTTAAAAATTTCATTCTGTAACTGAAACAGTGAATGTTCCCATTTAACCAGAAGTTATAAAAATGACCATTGTTTCAAGTGGCTAAACAAAACCAGCATTGTCTTTTTAGAGTTGAGCTGGTCTTGAATTCACTAACGCAGTATTTTCCTAGTCACAGTAAAAAACAAATTAATTGTTTCCAGCTAGAGTATAGCAGTACTCAGAATGTTTAAATGTCTTTGGGGAAACTTGTTCGTTGTTTCTCTACTGAGGAGCCCAAGTAAGGTTTCATTTAATCTGACTCACGAGTTCTCAACAGAACAATCGAACAGGCATATCAAAACAAACAAACAAACAAACAAACAAAACCTAGCTTTGATCTTCCAGCTGCAGTCCAAGAAAGTTTCGGAAGTCTATTGTTTACTTTAGGAAGTTTTTCCTAATATCTATCAGCCCAATTATCCCTTTAATAATCTATTCCCAGGTCATATAATTTCATCATTAGCTATTTTCTGTCATTAGTCCACTTTGCCAATAGGTCGTTAGTTATTTGAGGACACGAACCAACTGTTTATTTCACTTTACACTGCTTATTAAACAAAACACAGCACTAGCACTATAGTAACTCCTCGATATTTGCTGTGAAATTATTATTTACCTATAAGAGATGATTTTTTAATACCATGATATCCTGTTTGTTTTTTTTTTTTTTTTTGAAGATTTTCTTATGTATACAGTGTTCTGCCTGTATGTGTGACTACAGACCAGAAGAGGGCACCAGATCTCATTACAGATGGTTGTGAGCCATCATGTGGTTGCTGGGAATTGAATTCATGACCTCTGGAAGAGCAGCCAGTGCTCTTAACTGCTGAGCAATCTCTCCAGCCCTGATATCATCTTTTGAGGACCCAAAGAACTCTTTAGATTATGAAGACCCAAATTTGCAATACCTTTTTTTAAAATAGAAAAAAATTCGTTGCAATAATTGATTGCTCAGTAGTAGAATGTATATTTAATAGAAATGGAATCCTAGGTTTAATCCCAGCACCACATGTACATGAGCAAATAGGTAATATAAAAGTAAATGTATACGCACAGACAACCAAGCAAGTTAATATAAAATTATAGTAATCTACAGTGGTAGTTTTTGGGGGTTGGCACACACCTTTAATCCTAGTACTTAGGAGGCAGAGGCAGGCATATCTTTGTGAGTTTTGAGGCCAACCTGGTCTACAGAGTGAGTTCCAGGACAGTCAAGGCTGTGCGAAGAAACTCTATCTTGGGGTAATATGTATTTATACATGTATGTATGTATAAAAAAATCACCTAACAGGATTCGTTCCTTTTACAAAATGATACCTAATGTCTTCTAAATTCATATCACATTTTAAATATACTGCTGAAGGCTTTGTCTAAATTAATTCATCTAGTCCTGAAATCTCTACTGTTAGGTTATTACTATCTCTGTTTGAAAAAAACAAAGCTGAGAGAACATAAACAATATGCTAAAATTAATAGAGATAAAATGGCTAATTGTTAGAGCTGAAACTTTTGCTCGAGCTATGAATCAACACAGAAAAGAAATGGACAATCATCGTTTAGCTTAAGGATTTATCTGAACTGTTTAATGGTTCAGATTTCCTTCTCATATTGGATATTACCAAGGAAATCTATGAAGCACTACACTGTGATCTGTAGACTTTTGTATTTTAGTTATATTTCAGTAAAAAAAATGTTGGAGGAAGTGGGCTGGCCTCTTTTCTGGCTGCGGGATTCAGTTGCTGTTCTCCATTCCAGCAGAGGATACTGACTTGTGAATCTACCCCTAAATAAATAATCCTCTATTAGTCTCAATTCTGAGCTAGTGTGGGATTTCTTTTAAGCATCCATCTTCAAAAAAATTCACATCTAAAAGCAAAATGTATAAATTAAACCAAATTTATAGTAAAGAGAAGATAATGACAAGCCATGTCATTATCTAATAGTAACACTACTAATACATACATAGACTCCTGCGTGCATCTTATGTCTTTATCCTCCTACTACTGATCTCAGAGGTTTTGTTGCATTTTTTAGACTTATTTTATTTTTATTAATATGTATTGTGTCTGTCTGTATGTATATGTGTATGTGCATGCAGGTGCCAGTGGAGGCCAAAAAACAATAGATAGAGAACACAGAAAAATTATCAAAATAACTAAATATTTTGGCTCAAGTGCCTGGGTATATTTGAGTGTCATTCAGTAATCTAGAGAACACTAAAGGGACAATCCTAAGGCTGGTCATTAAAATGTGAACAGGGGTCCTTTGAGGCACCAGAATAAAATCTAGTAATCTGTTTAGCAACAGACCTGACGCTATAAAAGAAACCTCAGTATAAATTGTAAATAAATTGTAAATGAAACTTTACATTGTAGTAAAAGAAATAAATACTTAAGTTAGCACAGAGTGGAAGAGGACCCTAGGACAAAAGAAAAAAAAGCATATATACAATATAATATAAACTCATCACTTACCACTTTCAACTTTGCTATCCTTGTAGTTCTAACCAATAAGCCTATCTTTCCTTACAATGTTTCTACTCCTTGACTCCTATATAGTCACCACATAGCACAGTAAGTAAAGCATGGACTCCGAACTTCAATATCTAAGGTTAAAAATCAGTTCCAGGACAGGCTCCAAAGCTACAGAGAAACCCTGTCTCGACCCCTCCCCGACAAAAAAATCATTTACTAGCTTTTTGGCCATGGGTGAAATATTCAGTCTGTTTCAGCTTTCTTGGCAACCAATAGCAAATTACTTTATGGGACTGCTAAGGGAAATTAAATAAGCTCATAATTAAAGAAGATTTTATTATTTGATATCATGAATGTTCTGCCTGAATGTATGTGCCTAATTTGCATGGTATCAGTGGTGGTAAGAAGATATCAGAATCCCTGGAACTGGAGTTATGGACGGTTGTGAAGCATATCAGTCCTGAGAATTGAACCAGTAAGTCATTTCTCCAGCCCATTAGTCCATTTTCAAAAGAGCTCAGGATGGTGTCTGTTACGTGCTCTTTAAACATGTGTTGAGTATCCGGGCAGTGGTAACACACACCTTCTGATTATGGCACCACCATTTTTTAAATGTCAAGTACCTAATACTTAGGGGTTTTTCCTCCTTCAATGTATGACTATCTACATTAGCACTTTTTTCTCTATTTTAGATTTTATTGCATCTCACCAGAAAGAACTCAATATTCTTTCAAAATACTCACCAAAAGAACTGTATTCTAGCTAAGAGAGATCACCAACAGAAGTGCATTCTAGCTAAGAGAGCCGGATTCAGCTAGTTTCTATTCCACCGGCTTCCCAGAAAACAATGACTTTCTGCAAATACGACCATGTCAGTTTTCTGCTCAAAGAGTTTAAAAAAGATAATCCATCTCCTTTTATGATTAATTAAACCTTTTACTATCTGGACTTCATCTTATCGGGTTCAAATTCCATCTTATGCACACAACCTCCCCTACTTCTATTCCTTTTTCTTTTCACACACACTCTATTACATCTCAGTAGTACTAAAACTTTCCCCTTTGCCGCAAAAGTACTTCCACGAAGTAGAATTTAGAGGCCACTTTCTGCCGGCTTCCCTCAACTGTCCCTACAGCAGCTAATATAAGAAACCAATTGCATACCCCGACCCGGATACGAGCACCAATTTGTTCAGATATCGTTTCCAAACGAGTATGAATACTAGATATGTGATGACCCTCCACTGTTTGGCATAGCGCCAGTAACACAAAAGGTGCTGTAGCCAGAGGCTGAGCAAGGGCAAAACCCCTCAAAGTCTGGCACTTACAGCAGTCTCGCAGTCGGCACTGAAGGCCTTGCCTTGTCTAGCTTCCGCGGTTCAGTTTTCTGCTGGCCTCAAGTCCAGCACTTTTTACAAAATGCCAGAGTCTGGCGTCCTGGCCAGTCACAGGGTCCTAGGAAGAGGGTCCCAGGAGGCGGTCCCTGGGGCATCCTGAGACTCCCCACTGCAGACTCGGTAAGGGGAAGAGCGTGGGATGCATCACGGGCCGGTCCGAGGCTTAAGTCCCGCGGGGGCCTAGACCAGCACCTCGACTGGCATCCCAGGGCAGATGACGACCAAACCAGATCCCCAACGGGGGCTCCATTTCCAGAGACCCCGCACCCCAGCCCGGCTCTCCGTTCGCCTTCGAACTTACAGACCCGGGGGTAAGGCCGCCATCTGGATCTGGCACCGTCTAGAGCTCCGGCCCCTCGGGGCTCCGGGAAGGGGGAGGGGCAGGCAACCTGAGCCAAAGGGGGACCCAACGGAACCGGAAGGGCAGCCCTGGCCGGACAAAGACAACTTCCAGGTCCCATGGTCATCTCCGCCAATCGGAATGCTCGGAGGACGACGAGCCCCTGAGAGGGACTTCCCGCGTTGTGGGCGGGGCACAGGCCAAGGCTGGGGAGTCGGCTGCGGCTGTGGAGTATCTGTCTCTTCGCGCTCTGCAGCTTCGGGTCTTCCGTGGGATGCGTGTCCCAGCTCTGTTCTCGGTGGCTGTCGTCACGCAGGGCTCACACCGTCCGCCTCCTGCATGGGCCTGAACAACCTGCCTGCGCACAAGTCGTGGTAAGTCCCTCCCGCCCTGGGATGTGGACTCGCCGCGTGGGAGCCTGGAGCGCCTAAAGCTGTTGGTTCTCCTCCCTTGTGGATACTGGTGTTTCTTAGGGACTCTTTCTTATGTGTTCCGGGCCAATCTCTTGCCTTCCATAGCTTCGGTTATCCTGGAGGTTCACAGATCTCTCGTTAGCCTGAAAACCTCTCGAGCTCCAGAGCCAACCATCTAGAAAAATTTAGTGTTGATTGTCCAATGTTTTAATGTGCCTGTTTGAATCAAGTTCAAGCCCAGGCCTACCCAGCTATACTTCTTGGTTGTTGAAAGGAATCATCCTCGTACTCTTCCCGATGAGAAAATTTGAATATCTTTCTGAATCCCCTTTGCTTTGCCAATCCACTGTTTGCTGCGTTATCTTCATTTATTTTTTTTTTACCCTTTGGGGGCGTTATTATGTAAAAAACAAAATAATTGTCATTTTAATCAATTGCCAATCTAAAGTGGCCTTGTGCAATGTTGTGTAACCACTACTAGCTATTCCCGCTTTACCACTTTCTATTTTGTGGACATCTACGTTTTGTAAAGTGTTAAAAACCTTTTACCATTGAGTGTACTTGTTGAAAATCAACAAGAGTTGTCAAGAGTACAGTGATCTATATATTTATCCATATTATTACCATACTGCTTTGCAGGCAATTTTTTGCATTTATTATTTATCTTTCTTTAAGACTGTTTTGGTTCTTCCAGATATTTGGCACCTCCATTTGAATTTGGTACCAGGGATTGAACCAAGGGCTTTCTTGGTGCTACACAAATACTCTACTACTGTGCTACAACTCTAGCCCTATTTTTGTATTGACTTGAGGATTGACTTTACCATTTCTTGGGAAAAGTCTTTTGGAAATGGGGTTTTATGGAATATGTAGGTTGCATTGGATAGTGTTAAGATTTTGATACCTACCCGTACATAAACACAAGATGCTTCTTTCTTTAAGTCTGTATTAATTGCTTTCAACAATTAGTTTTTTGTCATTATTGGTTCATTCACACTTTTTGTTGTTTGTTGTTGTTGTTTACCGAGACAGGGTTTCTCTATGTAACCCTGGGTGCCCTAGAACTCACTCTATAGACCAGGATGGCCTCAAAATCACAGAGGTCCCCTTGTGTCCGCCTCCCGGGCGCTGGTTTCAGAGTGTACACCACCACCACTGCCTGGCTTCATTCACACATTGGATTTGCTTATTTAATTTTATTTTCATATTTCTTATTGCTAGTGTCCAAAAATTATTTTTAAAAAACACAGATTTTGGGGGCTGGAGAGATGGCTCAGAGGTTAAGAGCATTGCCTGCTCTTCCAGAGGTCCTGAGTTCAATTCCCAGCAACCACATGGTGGCTCACAACCATCTGTAATGGGGTCTGGTGCCCTCTTCTAGCCTGCAGGCATACACACAGACATAATATTGTATACATAATAAATAAATAAATATTAAAAAAACACGGATTTTTTTTTCATATGTTGGTCTAACTGTTGCAGTTCACTTATTCTGGTAGTTCTCTTGTGGCCTCTTTTGATTTTCTACTATAGATTGGTGTAATCTATGAACAAAGATCATTTTACTTTTCCAACAGGATGCTTTTTCTTTTTCTTGTCTAATAGTTCTAGCAATTAGTACAACGATGAATAGGAGTAGTAACAGTAAAGTAAAGGTGGGCATCCTTGTTTTATTTCTGATGTTAAGAGGAATTTTTTATGCCTTAAATTATTATGTGTTTCACTATGAGTTTTTCATAAACACCTTTGCCATGTTGAAGAATTTTCTGCCCATTATTTTGTTGTATCAATGTATTCTGTTGATTGATGTTGTTGAACTACCTTGCGTCCATGAAGTAGGCTGAATCCTACTTGGTCATGGTGAAATTCTTTTAATATGCTTTTGGGTTTAATGTATTTATAGTTTGCTGATTATTTTTGGATCAAGTCTTCAGTGGTACTGATCTATATTTTTATTTATTTATAATGCATTTGACTGATTTTAGTGTCAGTAATACTGACTGCATAGAATGTATTAGGAAGCATTCATTCCTCAATTTTTTGTAAAAGTTTCAGGAAAACTCTGCTAATTCTTCCTTTAAACATTTAATAGAGCTGGGCAGTCTGGCACATACCTTTAATCCCAGCCCTTGCTAGGTAGAGGGAGGCAGATCTCTTGTGAGTTCAAGCCTAGCTTGGTCTACAGAGTGAGTTCCACGACAACCAGGATGTTACACAGAGAAATCCTGTCTTGAAACAAAAAACAAAACAAAACAAAACAAAAAACATTTAATAGAATTCATTGATGAGACTGAACAGTGTGAGACTTTACTTGTTGGGAAATTTTGATTTCTAAATAAATCTCTTTATTTGGTATAGGGTTATTGAGGTTTTCTCTTGAACCAGTTTAGTTCATTTATTTATTTCAAATGATGGGTCCTTTTTTTTTTTTGCTCTCTAATTTTTGACATGTAGTTATTACAATACTCTCATTTTAAAAATTATAATGTTAATAGTAATATATCCCTGGTTTTATTTCTTCTTACAGTTATTTGTATATTGTCTATTCTGATTATTCTGACTGTCAATTTTGTTGGTCTTTTTTTATAATTTTTGTTGAGATTTTTCTCTTGCTTTTTTTCAACTGCTTTGTCTCTTATTTGATCTTTAATTTTTTAACTTTTTTATATGAAAACATATTTATTGACCGAATAATAAAACTTAGGTTAAGGGGTGTCTAGAATTAGACTTCCCCCTTGAAATATAAGTTTCCAATAAGCAAAAAGAAGCAATACTTCCCGATCCCAAAAAGAAAGAATACACTGGAGGCCTAAATCATAGACAGTGAGGGGTGATTTCCAGCAGTCTGTTTCTTTGATGGTACTAATTTTTTAATTTTTATGTTAGCTTTGCTTCTTTGTTTTGTTTGTTATGATACAGGATCTCTCTTTGTGGGCCTGGTTGTCCTAGAACTCCCTATGTAAACCAGGCTAGCCTCAAACCCATAGAGATCCACCTCTGACTGCCAAGTGCTGGGATTAAAGACCATACCTAGTTTGCTTTATATATTATGTCTTTTTGTAGATCTTTGAAAAATAAGGTCTAGGTTTTTGATCTGAAGGTTTTTTTGTTGTTGTTGTTATTGTTGGTTTGTTTCTTTTGTTGTGTTTTTGAATTTTGAAACCGGGTTTATCCTAAACTGGCATTCATGTCACTATTTAGACAGAGATTGGCCCTGAATTTGTTATCCTCTTGCCTCTATCCTTCAAGGACTGGGATTACAAGTATGCACCACCTCTGATTTCTATTTTAAATATAAACTTTAAATTTCCTTCTGATGATTGCCATAACTACAGCTTATAAAGTTAATATGCACATTATGTTTGTTTATTTCTAAGTATTTTATAATTCCCTTTGATCTCCTTCTATCACTCATTGGTATTGTTTCTATATGTTTATGATGATTCTAGTTTTCCTCTTCTTGTTGATTTCTAACTTTATTCTGTTGTGTTGACAGGAAATCTGTAGATTTATTTATTTATTTATTTATTATGTATACAATATTCTGTCCGTATGTCTGTGGCCCAGAAGAGGGCACCAGATCCCACCACAGATGGTTGTGAGCCACAATGTGGTTGCCGGGAATTGAGCTCAGGACCTTTGGAAGAGCAGGCAATGTTCCCAACCGCTGAGCCATCTCTCCAGCCCTTTGTTGTTGTTTTATTACTCTTTTGGCTCTTTGCTCTCTGGGAGCCAGTCATGGCAGCTCCCAAATAAACACACACACACACACTTGTTCTTACTTATAAATGCCCGGCCTTAGCTTGACTTCTTTCTAGCCAGTTTTTCTTAACTTAGATTACCCATCTACCTTTTACCTCTGGGCCTTTTTCTTTTCTTACTTCTATAATCTTATTTTCGCTCTTACACCCCATCCATGGCTGGCTGTGAGGCTCGCCCCTTCTTTTCTTGCTCCTCAATCTCTCTTCTTGCTCCTCCTTCCTCTATTCTTCTCCTTTTATTTATTCTCTCTGCCTGCCAGTCCCATCTATCTTTTCTTCTGCTTTGTTATTGTCCATTCAGCTCTTTATTAGACCAATCAAGTGTCACAGTAACAGACACAGTAACACAGCTTCACAGAGCTAAACAAATGCAATTAAAAGAATGCAGCACATCTTTGCATCATTATACAAATGTTCCATAGCATAAACAAATGTAACATGTCTTAAAATAATATTCCACAACAAAGATCCTTTGTGGACTTGTAAAATCCACAAGGGCTTGTATTTTGGTCTAACATGTTGTCTCTCTTGGTGACTCTTGTATATAGACTTGAGAACAATGTGTATTTTGTGATTAACATATGGAATGGTTTATACATACATGCTAATAACTCTAATTGTTCCCCTCGCTGTCCTGGAACTCACTCTATATAGACCAGGCTGGCCTTGAACTCTGACTCTGCTGGAATTTAAGGCAAGTGCCACCATTAGCCAGCAGAAAGACTTATCTTGACTCATGGTTTCAGAGTTTTCAGTGCATCATGGTCACAAGGATGTAACAGAGCCGAGCAGCCACAGGATGAATACTTTAGCTCGCTCTTTTATTCTCCCACCTCCCAAAGTTGGGGGTTAAACCCAAGGCCTTGGTTATTTTTTTTGGTCATTGGGATAGAAGCACAGACCAGCTACCATTTTTTTTTGTCCATTTTGATATAATTTTTAGGAGTTTTAAGGGAATAACATTGTATTGTTTCCCTTTTACTCTATTTGGAATCAAAGATTAGGACATTGAAAAGTAACTGTTTGTGTGGAGCAAAGTAGACAACTGATGTGCTGATCAGGGAGGACACAGGCTTGTTGGGGGAGGCTGCTCGTTTATTCCCAGATGACCAGACCTGAAATAAACACAGAAACCATATTATTTGTAGTACTGTTTGGCTAATAGCTTAAGCATATTTCTAGCTAGCTATCTTAAATTAA